ATTTTTTCAGTTTAAATAATGTATTTTTTGACATAAAGTTTATATGAAGATATATAAATTTATGTGCGTAATTATGTGTTACATAATTACCTTAGTGCAAGTGGTTATGCCTTTGAAATTTTCCTATGTGGTGGTGTGCTCGAATCCCATTCTTACAATTTGACTTTTTTTTTAAAAAAGTCAAAACAACGTAGTTTTGAAAAAGGTTTTCTATAAGTCAACCAACAATATAACCCTTTTGAAAACTGTTAAAAAAATACACGCTTTTATACATATATATACAGCTGAGGGTTATATTGCAGGTTGACCATCATTTCGTGGATTGACGTGTGAATTAATGACTTGGAGAGTAAAGTCGCAAGTTCTAACCAATTGGAAGGTTTTTCTGCAGAAAACTCAATCCTACTTGACTAAACCATCAAATTAATCAAGTGGTGGTATATAGAGTGATTTTGGTTGGCTGGGTTGATCGGTTTTCGATCTATAACGTACGAGTATTCATACGAATATGCATCAAAATGGTTGGAAATTCGAATGCAAACACCATTTAGTACCACTATAGAGAAGTGCGCATGCATACAAAACATATACAAAAGACCACTTATTTGATTCCATGTACCATCTAAGGTACGATCATGGTATCATTTTTATCGTATTTAAACAAGTGCTTAAAGTAGCCATACTTACGTTACACGGTAACATGTCCATGGACCATGGTTTAACTCCCTTTTTCAAGGTTGGACCTGAGCCCAAACTGGAGTTGCTTCCTGCTCCTTAGCGTTCTCTGCGACTTGGCTGTGGTTGCAACATGCGCTACACTGTCCATAAGCGTAGCTGCCGCAACAACCGTATTTGCAACCACCACGGCCGCGTTTTTGCATCCCCACACTGTTAGTTTTCTCGTGTGGGTATCGACAACAGCCGATGCATCCGTTGCGTCCCCCATAGCAGCAACCGTGAATGCACCGACCTGTGAAGTATCCTCCACCATATTGCTCTGGTTCTTTCGCATCAGTTTCATCATTGAGATTCACCATTTCAGCTGTTAAGTATGATATGAGTATTAA